CAATAATGCAACGGTCCATTACCAACTTGGATATCTAGCCTAAGAAGTATAGTGGCATTCTTGCGTCAACTTTTGCCTTAGCTCTCTTACTTTTGGGACAAAGATTCATGGTCTTTTTGTTATTAGAAGCCCACTTTCCACCTAAAAGTATTTGGACTTCCCACTCTCTACCAATTTCATGATGGCAATTGCTTGAGGATCTCGATGTAAATTTTCTTCAATAAAATTCCAGATGTCTGTGGTTACTTTGCCGGCTATCATTGATGCGATCACCTTGAGAGCTGCGAACTTGGCCTTCTTACTGAGGGCATTTACCACACGATTCAATTTTTTAACATTGTGCTCAAAGGAAAAATCAAGCTTTTCTAAGAACTCCTGCCATCTCGCTTGTTTAACCTTAAGTTTTGGCTCTGTGAAAAGATAACTCACAACGATGTAGTCGATCTTAACCATGAATTGTGATCTTAGCAAGCAGTGTCGTCATGCTTATAAACAATGAACCATCGCTTGTAGTTTTTTCTCCTATGTTGCGTATCTCCTTTCAGCTTTATTCAATTTTTGACTTTCAAACGCAACCAAATGCCTTTCTTATAACAATAGTCCTCTAAAGGCAAACTCTGATGCATCCATCTATACTTCAAAAAGCTTATCAATATCAAGGAGTGCCAAAACAAGATTCATCATCACTTCTTTTAGTCTTTCGAAAACTTCTCGACACTGTGGTGTCCAACTCCACTTTTATCCTTTTTTCAACAGTTCAGTGAGCACTATCATCCTTTTCTAATACCCCTCTACAAATTTCTGATAACAATTGGCTAAACCTAAGAATGAACGAAGCTCTGTTGTATTTTTAGGGGTAGCTCATTTTTTAATAGCTTTCAGGTACACCCTTGTTCAATGATATGACCAAGGAATCAAATTCAGGTTTGCATAAATGCACATTTCTCTATTTTCACATATAACTGGTTGTTGTGTAACCTTTGGAAGACCTACTACAAGTGCCTTGATGCTTCTATAAGGTTAAACTATACCCTACAATATCATTTAAATAGATTACCACGAACTTATCTAGATAATGATGGAAAACTTGATTCATCAATATGCAAAAGGTGGCAAAAGCATTGGTTAGTCCAAAAGGCATAACAAGAAATTCAAACATACCATATCGCATCATGCAGGTAGTTTCGATTCATCTCCTTCAGTAATTCTTACTTGATTGTAGCCTGATCTCAAATCTAATTGAGAAAAATACTTTGCACGACTCAACTAGTCAAAAAAATTGTTATAAGAGGAATTTGATATTTATTCTTCACTATGACTTTATTCAAAGCTCGGTAATCTATGCATAACCATAAAATTCCATCTTGCTTTTTCTAAAAAAGTACTAGTGTCCCAAAAAGTGCCTTTAACGGATGGATGAATCTGGCTTGGATCAACTCGTCTAATTGTTTTTTTAGCTCTGTTAGCTTTGGGGGAGCTATCTTGTAAAGCCCCTTTACAAGTGGCTTGACACTTGGGAGTACTTCAATCTTGTGATCTATAGCTTGTTGTGGTGGTAAGACCCTAGGTAGCTATTCCGACATCATGTCCTGAAATTCTTCTAAAACTAATTTTGCTCCTTTGGGTATTGAATTTAGACTCTTTAAGCCTTTGTAGATGGGCATTATTACATAAGAGGGATCTCCTTTCTCAATCCCTTTCTCAAACTGGATAACTAATATAATCCTCTTCCCATTCTTAGGTAGAATTGTAATAGGCACCATACACCATTGTTTCTTGAAGAATATTAAGTAACTCACAATAAGGAATGAAATGGCCTGTGTTTTAGTCATAAAGTCCAAACCCAGAACGAAATCAGAGTCATCAATAGAGACAACAGTCATGTTCATCTTCCCCTTATAAGAACCAATTTTAACCTTGGCATTTTTTAAGTTTCCCAAAATGGCTGAAGCTGGCAAGTTGACCACTTTCATCTACCCAAAGTCTTTCTCCACCTTAAGACTGCATCTTTTGGCTCACTTAAAGTGATGAAGGTATTGGAGGCCCTTAAGTCAAGCATGGATTTGATTTTCTTATCATTCACTAACACATCTACATACATGAGACCTCGTTAAGGCTTTTTCTTCATTTTTTCCAATTGTGCTTCTAAAACACTAAGGAACCGAATTGAACCCATACACGCCAACTCCTCTTTGACTTCTTCCACTAAGGCCTAGGCTTGAGGTGCTTCTACATTAGTAGTTCATATCGCATTAAGAGCTGCTTGATGTAGGCAATCAACTACCCGATGCGTTCATTACAGAGGAAACAAGATATTGGGGCTCAAGGCTTAAAGCCCCACGGCTTAATTGCTCTTGGTTGTGATGTGCCTCGAGTGGGTGATCTTCTTTCTCCTCCCTTACACGAACGTCTACTCACTCTTGGGAATTGTGTTGCACTATTAGAACTCAAGCTACTGGTTCTTGATGGAAAATCTTTCTTTTTTATATGAGTTATCACTATAATCAGTAAAGCATTCAGTAACTGCCATTGCTAGTCATATCCTATACCTTTTGTCATTGTAACTCTATCCTTGCCCATGGCTTTAAACCCTCAAGAAAATAGAACAACTTATCCTTCTCAATCATGTCCTTAATATCTAGCATTAGGGTAAAAAAGCTCCTCACAAATTCTCGAACAAACTCGATTTAAGGTAGCTCTCACAACTTCTGCCAAGCCATGTACTTTACATTCTTTGAAAAGAACTAGCTTTTGAGTTCTCACTTCAACTCTATCCACGTTCTATGTGACACTCGCCATCAATAAATTTGAAATGCCATCATAATTTGGCATCCCTTGCAAGATACATTGCAACCATCGCCACCTTGTCATCCTCTAACTCTATACGCATAGCTTAAAAGTACTATTCAATATCAAAAATGAAGTTTTCTAGCTCCTTCACATCTCTAACCCCTTCATAACACTTGGGCTCTGACATTTTGGCCTTTTTCCCTCACTCTCTTGGGTTTGCACTACTATTGCCTACAACAATAATCAAAAGGCTTACTAGAGTTTTTAATTCTCCAAACTCGCCTTGGAGAGTGCTTAATGAATCCTTGGTCTCATCACTCAAGGTATTTATCATGTTAGACAATTCCCATCAAACTGTCTTAATTTCATCTATTCGCTCTCGTAGGACCATCTAAGCTTTATTGCAACCACCGCGACCTCTGACTCGTCAATTCTTTTATAGTCCTTTGGTGCACTCCACATGATCACCATGTTTACTCTTTCACTTGGCACGTCTCGCCCGTGCTCTGAAACCAACTGTCATGAACTATGCTCATTCGCTTAAATATGTGATAGTTCGTGCGATGCTTGAATGGACGCTTCCACATAAGCTAGCCAATAACTCAAATATGAACAAACAACAATAACAGCCACAAATTTAACTAAGGAAACGCAACATTAAAATTAGAGGACATAACGAATGTCATATATGCAACCATTAGAGTCACATAAAGAAAAATATTTTATTAATATCGAAATAAGTACAAAAGGACTCAAAAACACCACCATCGAGCCACAGGGGCAGTCCTAGATGACTCATTACAAACATACCTTTCCTAGTGAGGTAACCCAACAATCTGTTAACTGCTCACCCCCTATAAAGAGATTACAAAGTTTTACCAATATTTCACCAATAGCCATTACAATTTGTAAGATGGGGACATTCCTTTCTTAAATGGTCTTCCCCCTAAAGATTTAACAAGGATTTCTAAAATTGTCATGAAATACTTTTACAATGTTTGAAAATGGGACATCTCCCTTATGAGTACAAAAGACTTAATCTCCTATGCAATTTTACCCTATCAAAGCTTTATAAAAGGTTAGTTCATGATACTGGGTCTTGGTTTTATGAATAAGAATCTTTTTCCACCTATCAAACATGTTGTTTAGGTTAGAAATGTGAGCCCATTAAAAATAGCATCAGAGCACATATAAATCTTTACATCACCAATGTAAGGGTCTTTATCGGCATTGCACATTGCACAATTAAGTGGATAGATTGGGACTTAGGTTTATAAATAAAGACCTTCATTTATTAGGTATATTTTTTAAATTGAAAACGTCAACATGTGACTGTGTATGTGGCTGTGCCCTTCCATTAGAAAAGTACTACTCCAGAAAGCAAGAAACGCCAATTCAATGCCAAAGAGGATTGTGTTAGCCGTTGCAATAGTTGCATCATTAGCCAGTGCACCAATGGCCTTTGTGTTTGTGGTTGCTAAATTTTGGAAGCTAATCTATTTTGGTTGTCAAATAAATTATGAATTTTAATTAGATTCTTGAAGTTTGGCTATTGTGTATGGGATTCCAATGTGATATAACAGTCACCTCTGATCATGGTATCATGGTTCGTTGAAAATTATCAGTCACCTCTGATCATGGTAGCACGGGTCTTTGAAAATTAATCATATTCTTAGACTCAAATACTTACATTACATTAATGATCCACCTCCATGGTAACACGAGTACACACTACGAGAAAGTGTGGACTATGAGAATCCTTTAACTAGCAGTGAGATTTACCCCCGATGCACTTAATATAATCATAGTCACAAATTTTAATTCGAGGTTTTACCAAATACACAATAAAACATCATTTCTCAAAGAAAGATTGGATGACATACAAAATCTGCAAGCTCAAACAATCAATCTATTTAAGACTTAAAACCGATCATACAATCCATTTAACACATTTAAATGCTATTAATAAATTTAAATACAACATAATTAATCTATTTTAACATAATATCAAATTATTTTAGATATTTTAAATATTAATGATTTAAAGGATGAGTTTCAATGAGTTAGATATGTTAAACAATGTGACTTTATGTTATTAATACAATTAGTTAAACATATCAGACAGTTAGGCATATCAATCTGCATAAAAGACGAAAATATGTTCATGTTACTAACAAGTTCAAACCAACATGATTATACAACCAAACCTATTTAACTCCATATCACTTTTGTGTCGTGTTAATGTTACCATGTCAGTCTGATGCCATCATGCATTGAACTGCATAAAAGAATCTCAGGCAAACCTGATCCTATGAATAAATGAATCTATTGGGTACAAAATTCCTTTATTTGATCGAAAAAATTAAAGAAAAAACATTTATCAGCTAAAATTCTCCCTGGCAGAGAAACTAACAAAACCCAGAGAGGATCAGCAGAAAAAATATATGAAAGCAGGAGGGACCAAATCATACAACATCCATTAATTAGAAAGGGTATTGACCACAAAACAAACTAGATGAGAGCTTGTACACCAATAAGCTGCATCTCTCTAAGCTTCCAAATCGGATAGAGGGCACCCTCTCCAAGTTCTTCTACATCCACTTGTTGCATTGCCCAGGCGTAATAAACAGTATGAATTGTATCCTAGTAAAAGACAAGTTTGAGAAGATCTAAATCAAAACATGAGATGGTAATTTAAAGATCAAAATGCATTAAAGCAAAGGTATGAACACAACACTAACATATCTCTGACTAGAATTCTAAGTTTCAAGTCATTGTAGTTTATTTCATACACAAATTTACCTAGTCACCTCTCCATAAAAACCATATATGTTCATATATACATGACATGAATGTAAAAGCATGCAACACAGAGAAATAGTCTGTCCTTTACCTTTCCACCTTCCGTTATTTTACCCTCTCTATCACGTACACAGTAGATCTGTTGTGTTTGAAACTGTGAACATTAAAAGGGCAGAGGGCACCAGCATCAGCTTCAAAAACCATAAGAAGCATATAATCAAGCAAGAAAAAAATTGATGAAGTAGAAAAAGAAACTCATACTGCCACAATGATAATGGGGGAAGTCCCCATCATTTTGGTCTCTCTAACTTCTACATCAGATACATGAAGAATCTGCACCAAAAGTATGCCCAAATTAGCAATATCAATTTATATCAAGAATACAATTCAACAAGACATTTAAAACCAAATTATCCCGACTTCAATCTGCAACCTGACTTTTTACCTAGGGCATTATAATTTATAACCACATTTCTGAAAGCCTGTATGAAGAAACAGGCACCTAGAAATGCATTTTGAGCACGTATAGCAACATCATGGAAAACAAGTCAATTACAGCCAGCTTTGTTTTCAGACCACATAACTAATAATAGTCAGTAGTGGAATTACCAAACAATTTCTAACAAGTAAGAAATGACAAGCGAACTTAACAAAGGAACAAGACCACTGGCTCAAACATTCAGGTAATTTATGGTCTCCAATCAAAATCCGAATCAACTAGTTTAATTTCTACTGTCAGATCTGCTCATGTAAACAATTCATGCAATGAAAACCATATGCACCAAATCTTTCACATTACGGATTTTTTGGATATGTAACACGAAACCAGATATCTTTCAGATAATGACTGTTTTATGCATTGAAGGAATGAGCGAGTTAAATGGTTTATTCAGGCCAGTGTTTTCCTACTGATTTTGTTGTATTTTGATACTATGTTTAAATAGATTAATTATGTTGTATTTAAATTTATTAATAGCATTTAAATGTGTTAATATATCTTTAAACAATCTCCAGAGAACTTCATACAAGTGAGATTAAAGATAGCCGTCTTACCCAAATCCACATATTAGGGCTTATACAGCAATTAACAAAATTGTCACTTTCTTACCTTGTTATCAAAAAATATACCATTGCTCTGATAAGCAGTATGCTCTGCTTTGCACCTGTCAATAACTTCAGGACTACAATACTTCTTCAAAGTTTCAACATCACCCTGCATGCATAAAATTCTTTGTTTATTATTAAAGACATAGCAACCATTTGGAAACACCCTTTTTCAAGGAAAAGATAAAACATTAGAGCATAAGCCAGCCGAACCCCATACTCACTTTTGTGTAAGCATTAAGGACTGGTCTGATCGCTTCTTGAACTTCTGTCACAAACTCTGGCAAAGAAAATGACCTAGCCCATGCACCAAACAATTCCATAGTTGTCAATACACGGAACATAAATAATCAAGCAAAAACAAAGGACAAGCGATCCTACGGATCTCGTCGACATATTTCTTTGTATGATGCTGCAGCATCTGTTTCTTGAAAGATACTCTCATTTATACTGTCAAAAGGAGAATTATGATATCAGCACCCAAAAGATCACATGAATAACTCTCTAGGTAATCTTATGGTTGATAAATTACTAGCAGAAGAAGGATGAAAACACAAGAAGAATAAGTAACATACTCCTGAATTTTGTGAACAATGGGGTTATCACTGGTCTCCCATCTCTCACGCATATCCTCTGCAATCTGCCAATCCAGCCCATATAATAATTTCAGCCAGTTCAATGGGAAAGTATGTGCAATATAACAATTTTTTTCCCCAAATTAACTAATTGACACACTCCAGTACAAGAAATAAATGGAGCATGCATCTTAAGCAGAATACCAGAATATATAGTCAGCAAAAGAACTAGGACAGTGGGAAGAAAAAGGCTATAGGATTGGAACATACCTCTTGGCCCTTTGTAACAACAGGTTCACTAAAGCCACTAACATGCTTGAATAATGGATGACCTTGCATCTAGGTAGAAGAGAAATGAATTCATTTGCATAAGAAGCAGACAAACCTAAGCAAAAGGTGAAACTTTGTAGTGATAGTTCAGTAAAACTCAGCATCGCCAAAAAACTAACCTTCTCTTTGAATGCCCCCCACTTTTTACTCCAACGGGACTGCTTAGATGGCATAACAACAATATCAGTTCTTGTACTTCTTTCACCTGTTGATGAAGGAGGGGGAGTATACTCTAGGTGCCTTCTCTTACTTGGGTTACCACTTAACTCATCCTTCACAATGTCATATCCCTTCTTTGCTAAATCAACAACCTTTGCTTCCTTTAACCTTTGGAAAGCCAAAGACACCTTCGGAGAAGAAATGCCTGACTTAAATTTTCCAAATATAGTTTCTGCAGTATCACCTGACGCAGACTGCTCATGTTTCTGCTCCCCAGATGATGCCTTATCTCCATCCTTCACATCAGCACCATGCTGAGCTGAAGTACTGGTTGCCTCTGAAGACTCTTCCTTTCCAAACCCAAAAGTTTCCTTAACCTAAAAGGTAATATGGAATAACTGATTAAAAAATGGTCATGGACATAATTAGGAGGCCAACAATTTGAGTAGAAAGCAAACCTCCTCTTTGGCAGCTGAAATCTTCTCTTTCATATTGGCCGAAACCTAAAAACAACATAATTACCAATTAATTAAGATTTAGGTAATACCATCATAGACAATAGCTCCATGAAACATTCATATTGAAAACAGACAACATTCTTCACATCTCACAGCCAATGCTTTAATTACAAAGAGACACACAATAATTTTTAGCAGCAACAAGAATACTACAGCTGATTGACCTCATATTATTTGAAGAGAATATAGAATTTATATTACCTGAATTATGGTCAAACATAAGAGTGCTACAGAAATCATTGTAAGGTACCATATTGAATGCAAACAACATTTGATACATGTGTACATTTGCATATACGATGACAGAAGAGTGCTACATAGAATCTACTGGAGGTCATTTTTCAGTAATCATCCTCAGATTTTGATCTAAATAAGCCCACTTTCTGAGCTATGGTCAAATTCTAAAGTCAAACTTATTGATTAAGCTGGATTACATACTAACTCCACGAAATGTTTTGGACACAAATGCACAAGGAAGAATACGTACAGCTTTTGGGTATAAGTAACTTCCATAAATATGCATTATAAGAAAAGAAATTTGGCAAAACATATAACAGATGCATAACATAATGTCAACATAATTAGTTTGGGTAAATAATCAATACATGCAAATCCCCGAAAGAACTATAGGAAGACAAGATAAGTTTGAAAGTAACCTTTTTAGCTGTAGCTTCAGCCTCTGTCCATGCGCCATCCACCTGCTTGTAGAGCTGCTGAGTTGTCTGCTTCGTTCTGCATTCGCCATTTCACCATCTCAGGCCCTCCCTTGACATACAAGGGTATGTCTCAGCCTATTATACTATCGAGGCTAATTTTATGCCAAAACATAAAGTCGCTACTATAATACCAAAAAAAAAATTACCTAACTTTCAGCTCCTCTGTTTTCCCCTTTAGCTCCTCAACCGATTGCTTGAATTCCGGATTTCTACAATATGCATAATGTCCCAAAAAGAGATGACACCACCAAAAGATAGTTAAAAAAAATTGTTTCTTCCTTTCTCAAAATGAAAAAGCATTGAGCTTAAAAATACCTGTTAGCTTCGCCTTTAATTTTATTGGAGAATTCGTTGAAGACGCTGAACCTTCGATTTCTCGAATACCCATTTCCAGATAGCAGTCTTAGTCTCACATTCGAACCCTAAAACACCAACCCCAAAAAAAATTATATTTAAAAAAAAAACAAAACAAAACTTTACAATCTTTGCCGAACCAAGCAAGAAGCTTTATACCTGTTGAGACGTAAAGTGAAGAAAAAGAGGCTGTCTTGCAATGAAAAAATCTCGAACTAGCTTCCTACCAGCCATCAACCCAGTTTTCTCCGAAAAAACACTTTCTAGGGTTTAAAAAAACATATATATGGTGTGGTATAAATTTGGGATTTTTTTTTTTTTTTTGGCTTCTTCGAAAGAGAGAAGGTAACAGTGGGAAAAATAGAAGTGAGGAAGGAGACTTTTATTAAAACTTTGTCGTGAGAAACAAACAATTGAAAATTGAGGGTTGTTTGGTTAAAGGGATTAACCAAAACTTTTCTCTGGTATTTCCTGTTGGGGGCAGGCAATCTAACGTCTAAGTTTTCGCCTTTGTTACCCATGTTCAAATAGAACTAGGGTTATCCTTTTTCAAGTTTGTGAAATTACATGAAGGACCTTGAGTCTTAAAAGTTTAGATTTCTTGCAAAATAAACACAAAATATATATATAAAAGCAAATCATTCCTCTTACATTTATATTTATTTTTAAGTAGTAATAAAAGTAGGTTTTATTTAACCTATAATTTGCATATGAAATATATGACATGGAATATTAGAAACATTTTAATGCTTGTACACTTTGAATGAAAAGACAGATATAAGACATTTCAGCAATTAGGCATTATTGTCAAAGAAATAAAAAACCATTGAAGAGTGGAAGGAATCTCTCTGAGCTCAGCTGGCCAATCTTCATGGTAAGGGCGCCCTTTGGTTTCTTTCCTCTTTTGCCTTCCCAAATTCTAAACATGTCTTCTATTTTGTTTACCCATTATCCCGTTGTCAAGAGAAAGAAAACCCATTCGGCTCCTCCTCGATCATTTTATTTGACCATCTTTTTGAGTTTGGTATTGTTGTTGAGTTTTAAAAGAATTTGAACTAGGATTAAAAACTTTTCTTGGCATGGCAAATGCAATACCCAATGGCTATGATAGTCCATTGAAGTTGGCATTTTCAAACACACCTCCCAAAGGCAAACAAGGAGAATATTCTCCACAATTAATCGCGTGCACTAGAAATCTTGATCTCACCTTCAAGAAACATTCCATGCAGAGATTAGATTGTCCACAAAATAAAAGGATGTGCAAAATCTATGTCAATATAGTAGTAAACTTATCCTCGACAGATTACTCTGAGAAGGCAAAAGCACAAGTCGGTGCAAAACTAAGTTTCCCCTACCCTACTACGCTTGTTTCTGTGACCACACAGTACTAATTACACGCATCATTTGCAATGGAAAAGCGTTGGGTCAGGCGAACTGCAGCATCTTCCGAGACCAACCCTTGAATCATCAGAGTCTTCACTTCCCACGCCGAGTATGGAAACCCTTTCCTCGCATACGAGTTGAGCAAGGCAGCACTCGCCTGCTTCAGCAACTTATCGTACACGTTCCCACCTTCATTCACACCCGTTGATTCCAGCAATGTCATATCAGATCTGTACCGTTCAAACGCTCTCGACCCGAACACGTTCAATACCGTCGATGTCTGTGGGACCATCCTTGGCCACGCCTCTCTCCTGCTGCTCCAGAACCTGCA